AAACTAGCATGTGTTATTAATGAGAGTTAGACATGGTACATAATCTTTACTGGAATTTTTTTGGAGTTTCTTTGGGATCATTTCAAAAACTACACTTGGCTTTTTGTTTTTCTCGGTTGCAATCACTTAAATACTTGAAAAGTGTTTATCATAGAGCAAAGAACAAAGATTACCCACTACTTTTATAACTGGCTGTCCTTATTTTCAGTAGAGGCAGGTATAATATGTGGTAAAACAGTAAATAAATAAATGTTGGCATGACTCTGTTGCTCTACCGTGTATCATTGTAGACAAACACGCACCTTTTCTCTCCCCAGTGAAGGGCACTACATCCTCTCTGTCCTTGTACTCCATTGCTTCCTTCTCCAGGTATTTGAGGAGGCGTTCCCTGTCAAATGGTCCTGTAGCTTTCTTAGCTGTGTGGTCCTTCTGACGTAAACCCGCTGGGAGAAGAGCATTCTGAATAGATGATGCAAAGAGACACATGACACCTGTTAATTCAAGAAGAGTTCAATCACTATTGACATGGAACCTTCCATCTGTACACTGGGGAATGCTAAATTGTGTAAAGGTGTAAATATATGTCCCCCCCCCGCCCCCATTAAGAGCCATGGAGCTCCTCCAACCCTCACCGAGCCCTGACCTCAGGGTCCATCTCCTCAAGGGCTGTCTCCAGCTGTTTGAGCTCCTCTGCAGACAGTTTGCTGAGGATTTCATCTTCATCGAGATCCTTGTACTTGTCCAGGTCCTTCTTGTATGACAACGCCATGGTGCCGGCTATAGCTCGCCAAGCAACACTGAACAGCAGACCACGGCCACACTGGTCTTTCTCGGGATCACAGCTCCAGATCAAGGAGAGGCTACCTGAAGACAAACGAGGACACAAACACAGGCAAATAAACATTCATGATAATGGGGCAGAAATTCATTTTAACTGACTGAATTAAGTAAAACTGTGAAATGTAATTATATCTTGTAAACTTAGATAAACATCGTTTATCTCATCCCTGTGAAACAACAGTTGATCACAGCTGGGCTGGATAACGAGGCCTCGCTATGATGCAACGCACAGTTGGAACAAAGGAAGGACTTGCCTAGGCTCAGACAAATCATCGGACCACTCCCATGAGGATCACCAGCAACTCTGTGAATTCCAGGCTCCAAATAATGAAATCATTTAGAAAACAATATCAGTTTAAATGCTGAATCAAAATAGGCTTTTTCTAATGGCTATGAAAACGTGTAGATATTTTTCTTCTAAGAGCTTGAAAATAAAGCAAATTGTGCGACAGTGGCGAGAAATACTGAAGCCAACTCTAAGTAGGTGCATAAGAGGATAAGCAAATAAGTTAGGGAGTGAGTGAGTCCTGTCAAACAAAATGAAGATGCTTCAGCCTTCTCTTTCCTCTCCCACGCCACAGTCCGAACGGAAAATGACCTCATGATTTCCAGAGTCCCTGCAGGCCTCCACAGATGGTCTCAGTCCTGATCGCTCACACACAGTTAAATGTACACACAAACTCAAACTTTCCCAAACTGTTCATTCATGCCATAGTCAAAGAAGATAATTTGCAAGGGAAATCAAACGGTTGTGTATTTGTTTGCATGCAAAATAAGTAACCTATAGGCGTTTTATTGCACTAGTACTTTACCAGTTATTGAGAAGGGGGACCTTGTTGAGTTGCTACCTGTAAATGCCCTAGTGAGGAATATTCCCATCAACCCAATTCATTCATGTCAACTGTAAAATACAGCACCACCTCTAAACTCTTTAACAGTGAGGGAAAAAAAACTCACCATGTGTTTCAAGACCATGGTTTAACCAAGGATTCTTTAAACATTTAGTGCCATTTCCCCGGTGCTGCCTGAGTGATTTCTCCTGTTCAGAGGTATTCCCTGAAGAGCCTGACACTGTGTATCTCTCATACTATTCACTTCTTTGTCTCCACAAACCAGGCTCTGTCCTGGGCTAACCATTTCCCTCACCTCATCCATTAGACCTCTACAACTACCCACGTTTACTCTGAAATGGTTATGCGAGTCTAGCAGAGGCATTCACAAGTCTGAGTGCCAGCAGATGAAGCTAGTGTAAAATGTCAACACTGATGGCTTTAATTAAAGTGCATGAATATAATGGTCTACAGTAATAATATCACCCTAATGTTTGGCTTTACAATAGGTTAATCAGATCCTGCAAAACAGTCATTACAGATAGATCTAGCACACAATTCCTGCATGATATTATTCCAGCCAAGTGAAAGGAAGGAGATCAGACATTCAAGCTGCAGTGAAGCTAAGCTAATTGTGGTGAAACAATATGTATATAAACATTCAAATCAGGCCCAATTGTAAATGTCAGACTGTGAAATATATATAATCATACTGCATATAATTCATCCGATGAAAACAGCAGCAGCTATTAAGGCCCAGTATTTTTGAGTGCACAGACAGAAGAGTAAAGGAGTACGCACACAGGGATAATGAGTGCAGTGAGTGGGCTCAGGCCAAGGTGGAGACACAATCGTCCAGTCTGAGTCCTTTCTCCTCTCTGCTAATCCTTCAACACAACAACAAGTGGCTCAAAGCCAATAACACTGTAACCCTGACTACTCTCTACACTCATCTTGAGCTTTCCTTCACCCACCAGTAGGCAACTGTTGGGCACATAAACATATCACTGAAAACTGCATTAGGATTCCCAAATATCACAATTTAAGTTCACCTAGCAGCCAAGATGTTTTGTACCTAATATTTTACCCCGACTATCCAATAACCAGTCTGAAATGACAAGTGATTAAAACCTGTCTACACAAGGCCAAAGGCTTCTCTCAAAAACCTGATGCTTAATTATGCCATTAAATATGGAACACAATATCAGACACCACCCTACATATGTCTGACTTCTAAACCTAAACCCAAGTACAACTCTTAAAATCAATATCCAGGTTGCCGGCATTTTTTTAGGCAGAAGCTGGAGGAACAGTAATTTGCAGCTAGGAAATGAACAGGAAGCATTGTTGGGTTATTACAATAATACAGAACAACGCCCCAACAACACACAGAAAAATATATAGTTAGAATGACCCAGCTCTTCCTTTTCCACCTACTCCCCTCCAGATTTATTCTCTAACCTTCTGTCTGTCCACCATGTTCTTAAAAGAACCAGGATTTGTACACTCCCCTGTTCTTGCTGAACATGCCAGACACACACCTCGTTATTATATAATAAGAACAGACCTCAAGGAGTGCTGGGGCTGTCCGCCTTGCCAGGGTTAAAGTATGAGTAACACAGGTTCAAGAAAGGTTTCCACTCTCACACCATTGTAAGGCTACTAATAGTCACTAATCACCGCTGTGATTGCATTACATCAAGGGTGAAACTAGGCAGTCACAGCCTGGTTTCACGCCCCAGTTAACGTTATGCAGGTTAAACAAACCCGCCTATCTGAGGAGCCTGTTTATCTGCAACACTGCACTGCAGCAAGTGCTACAGCAAGCAGTATCATTAAAAATCTAATCTGTCACCAGTCACCATGACATTCCACTTGGTTACAATACCTGATTCACAGCTTCAGGAAGGACACCTGCCCTATAGGCTTATTAAAGGGACAACCACACTTCCCTTTGCAGATGTCCTCAAGACTAGGACCACACCCTTCATTGAGCCCTGCTGATCAGACCACGAGTGTGAACACAGGCATTAACTCATTAAAAAGATACAATGACTTTGCACCTAACTAATAAGTTACACTGCTGTTCTAGCCACAGACCCCACTAAAAGCAAGTCCTTAAAATGCCAGAATTCTTGTCCTAGTCAAACACAAACACGGAAGCTATTGATGATCCGTCTGTAAAATGTATTGTCTGGCTGACACGGACTGGCAGGATAACCTTAAATTAGTCCTACACTATATTTAAAATGTTTGGCACTCACACAATATTAAACAAGCACCTAAAAAAAGATACTAGAAGCTAGAAGATGCTGCCATAAAATGATATGCTGTATCTTACTACTTATCCAATGTCTAAAAAGCCAGTTATATTGGTTGATGGATAACTTAGGTGTCCTGACTGATATACTTATCCATCTCCTGTAGACATAGCGGGCTATGCAACGGCATTAGTTAACCTGTTCTTGACATGTTTATAATTATCACGTAGACATACAAGATGTTGATCGTGATTATCATAGACTTGTAAAAGGCGCCACACGCAACTAGCTAAAACGCTAAACTATCAAAGCCAGAAGCGGTTTGTGCTACACACACTTCGGTAACTTCGGCTAATTTGTCGGATTTGTTGCTCAATGGCAGGTAGTCCCGCGAGACGCAGCTAGCAGCTAACACCCTAACCTTTGTGGATGACTCAAGTTGCTAGGCGTTTAGCTAAACCACCAGCTACACAGCACACATACAAGTTACAGTAGGCAGAACAGTATAGCTATTATATTGACTGAATTAACATACTAATTACAAAAACCTACGACTTACCTATCTCTTTTCCTGGTACCAAAGAAACTGGCCACGAAATTTCCAGATAACACGAACCTCCCCAATGAATTATGCGACGTCTATTTCTCAACCCAAGGGCGGTAACACAGGAAGCTGGACGTAGCGCATTCTTTGAGCGATGTCTGATTGAACCAATAGACAGAATCCGACGTGATGTGAGCCAATGGCGTCAGTTGACCCGCCCCTTTAACCTAGAAAACCCAATCAGGTGAGAGATAGGGAAATATATCTCAGAAAAAGCCTTTGGCTGCTCCTGGGCAAATTATATATTATGTTGAGCATTTTCTTTCAAATGTTACATCGCTGCTACTATGTATAACTCAAAATAAGGGAAAAACTTAAGCAGTGATTATGGCATGTGCAAAGGTCTGACCACTCTACTACTTATTAGGTACCACAGCTTGATAATATCTTTGTTTAGCCAGTCAAGAGACTTTCTGTCTAAGGGCACAATGCATTAACTGAGCTTTATGCACCTTTATCTAATGAGGTCTACTCTGTGCATCCTCATCTTGAACTGTAATAGTCACAGCTGGCTCTCTGACCAAATCTACCCCTTAAACATATCAATTGTACAGTACATCTCTTAGTAGGATCATAACAAGCTGAAAAAAACTTAGGTTAAAGACATTTCACCTCTCATCCAAGAGGTTTCATCAGTTCTGCCCGACTGGCGTTGAGTTGGTAATATTTATCCCCATCGGTGGTGTTTCAGTCCTTTGATGCCCATCAATGTCCCCTAACAACTGATTCGTTATAGCCCAATATCGGTGAGCGTCATGACCTGTCTTTGAACCCTCACCTATGGACCAACGCCTATTGTCCTGGTGGGCATGATTGGGCAGAGATCTCAAAACAGAATTGTAGATGGATGAGAAGTTGTGTCTTAGTCCACCACCCCTATTTAGTGAGGGGTGTTCTATTTGGACAAAAATAGCTTCCTTGACTCCTCTGTAAAACCAGCGATGTTCTCTGGAGAAGATCTGGACTTCACTGTCCTCAAAAGAATGTCCTTTGTCCTTCAGGTGGAGGTGGACTACTGACTCTGGTCCACTGGAGTTGGCCCTCCTGTGTTGGGCCATGCGTTTGTGCAGTGGCTGCTTAGTTTCACCAATGCACAAGTTGTTACACTCCTGATCACACCAGTTGGGCAGAATCCAGAGGGATCCTTGTCTGGTTTTGGAAACTGCACAACCATGGCACACAGCTCCAGCTCAGTAGGGGTCCATGATCTAGCCTGCATATGCTAGGACTCTGCCTTATTTCTATAAGAACCTGCACTTCTTCCTTGGTCACTTTTCCAGCAAATATACAGATTTAAAGAGACTCAACAACTGTCCAAACTACCAAGAACTTGGAAGCTCAGACTCCTTCACACACTGAGAAGAAGGGAAAGGAGAAAAGCCTCTTATGATGCAAGTCGACTCATTTGACCTTGTTCTCTGTAGTGTGGAGAAGCCCGGGCTTCCTCAACCCTAGAACTGGTTGTCACTCTGCGCTGATTTAGCAAGATAAACACACAACCCGTAATGTTTCCAAAAAGCAATCAACTGCAGCAGTGCAACTACTGTATCACTCATTTGACACTACAACTTTCTCCCATGTTTGTTTTCTACTCATTTTCTCTCACTTTCAATTTAGAAAACACTGTCAGTGTACGCTGTGGAGGAATATATAGCGTTAGAAAAGAGGATAAGCAAATTTATGCTGCCAAGCTAAGAGCTCACAAGACATACTGTAAAGGGTTAGTTTTCACTTTAATAACTGAGGTACTGTCCCTGTAGAGCTCAGTTCCTTCAGTACAAAGCCCGTTAGCCTTAAAACATTCAGCCCACAGTATAATCTTGTTTTAAGAATGTTAAAAAGAATAAAACTCAGTAATAATACATGTTCCAATACAACATCAACCTGTATACTTGACAATCAGGCATCACAGACACTGAGGCAAACACACGCAAACCGGTGTCTACAAGCTTCTTTTTTTTAAAAGTCATCTAAATCATCTGTCTCTGCCAGGCTTGCTCCCTCCCACGAACCCAAATGCACCCCCAGCTGGTACAGCATCTACCGAGCAAACCAGGACCAAAGACAATCCAATATAAATATGAAACTGTCTAAAGTATCCCCGCATCAATGGCTGAATGTTTTGCAGGAGTTGGATAAGTTCCCCTGCTGGGAGGCCTCCCCACCGCTGAGGGCTGGAAAGACTACATATACAAAGAAGAAGAAGACGAAGGCAAGGAAGACAGATTACTTGTGTCTCTAGCTGCACTTAAAGTGAACACTTTGCCTGATCTCCTTTTCACATGTGAAACTAGAACATTTGTCCTTCTCTCTCTTTCATACAAACAGACACACAAAACACAGATTTCACTTTCAACACAGCACAAAAGTAACTTTTAAGAACAACACTTAGGTGACATGTATTCTATGTTCAGAGAAGGAACAGTCAGTCACAGATTTTCAGTGCAACCGCCATACTTACACATATAATTATGGTATCATTTTCTTAGTTCATTTTATTTTTAATATCTAATTTCTTAAGAAATTAAAAATAATTTAACGTAATTCTAAAAATGTTACTTGTAGGCCTATTTTTCAATAATTCAAAATATTAGTTTTTTTTTTATTTTATTTTTATTGAACATCATATTTACAAACATACAAGGCCCAAAATAGTAGTTAAGTTTTGGTTAACAGCGACAGGTCCAGAGTTTACTGCGGCCCATAGCTCCCCCTAGTGGTTGAAGTGGCTCACTACATCAGCACGATGGCTTCAGCTTGACCTCGGAAACAAAACGTGCCGCTGGTCGTTTCTTTCCTGTGGGTCACATTTTACCACAGTTTTGAAGAAATGGCTGACATGGATGAATTGTTCGGGAGTGAGGGGGAAAGCGACAATGATCAGCGAGGTAACAGGTTCTTTTCAGACTTTGACGTGTATGAAGTTATCTTATGCGGGTATCCAGTGTTTCCGTATGCGAGGCAGAAATTAGCTTTGCACAAACGATGATCGGAATTGGACCCTGAACGTTACAGTGTTAAGGTTAGCGTCAGGAGCAGCAACTTCCTTTAATAAAACATCAATAGGCATCAGCATGCAGCTACAAGGGGTTATCTACAGATAACGGCGCATTTTTTCCTGTAGTTAACTAAAGCTATCAGTCAAGTCTTCTTGTCGCACGAACAGCAGTTTGAGCTGTAAAATATGTATTCAAACTTACAGTAGGTTGTAAAATGTAATGTAGTGCAATAGTGTGGCATCGGACTCGGCTATAAATTCCACCTATAGACGGATAATAATATTCAGTGTGGATCCACACCGTGAGAGAGCTTTTGCTTTAACTATGCTTTTATTGTTGTGGTAGTAGTTTGCATTATACTGACAAAACTACTACAATGTTTTTGGTTGGTTCCACATATGAAACACTTGACAAATCAAAGAGCTAGTTAAAATGACCTGTCAGGTTAAAAAGGGATGGTAAAATTTCTTGACTGTGATTTTATATGTTGTAGAACTGAGGAATAAAGACTGTAGACCTGGAATTTAAACTAAAATCTGCACGTGTTCTCCAACTCACTGGCCACTGATATCTTGCTGTGTGTTTGGCCACAACATTTGATGTGTTATTTTGCCTTGTACATAGTAGAAAACTGTGGGGAAAACGTCATAGCATTATGACAGACTCAGATTATTTACCTTTTATTGTATGTTTGAAGGTTTTTTGACAGTTGACTGGAATATTTTTGAGGATTTACACAGTGAATGCATGAATAAATGGGTTTGGGAGAAAAGTAATAAATTAAAAAGCAGTGTATTGTATTTAAATTACCAAGGTTTAGTCTGCAAAAGGAGTGAAATCTGTCTACTGCTGTGAGAAAATGAGCTGTCAGTGCAGAGTGTGTCATGCAGTGTTTTGGTCTTAAATATTCAACATCCTAATATATTTTTAATTGTGTTTTAGAATCTGGCTCTGGCTCTGGTTCAGACTCAGAGCAGGAAAGGCCTCGATCCGCCAGCAACGCCTCAGGCAGCGGCAGCGACAGTGAGCGAGAACGAGATGATGATGACGAAGACGAAGGCCAGGAGGCAGGAAAACCCATTATGAATAAGGTGTGTTCTGTTGTTTGACCGATGACACTCAGCACAAATGATGAATTTAGGTTTTGTAGTGTGAGAGTAGACAACAGACGTGCTTCCAGCTATTAAAGATCAATTATTCAAATTTTGTCAGAATTGTTAATTCTGCAGTTCAAAATGGAGTCAGGTTGTAGTGTCTGTGTTTTAGACCCGTTATGAGACATAGCAGTAAAATGGAGGTCACCAGGTGGAAACAATCCTGACAAAACACATTGGCTTACAGTGTGTTCTCATTCAAGATATCATTGTTATCTAGAACAAAGGATAATTTTAAGCTTAGGTTTGATCATGTAAAGTGTGTAAACATTTTTAAAAGGCTTTTTTGTAGCATTCACTACATAATTAGAGGAAACAAAGAAGTTAACAGTATATAGGTCCATTTAATAACAGACACACTCAGATATCATCACATAAGTCACTTTTTTTAAAGTTCTGCTTAGAAGGCTGTTACAACTGTGGGAAAAATTTCCACCCCAGCCCCCATGAATACATCGTCGGGCTGCTAGTGACACTGAGAAACTTGCAAACATTATATATACACCTCTGTCATGGATGGAGTGACCTGTGTCTGTAGTTGCAGAATGGGAGAGAGGATCATGTGCAGCATTGATGGCGATCTGTACATTAACTAAACATACTCACCTGTCCTTCCACCTAATAGGAGCTGTTTGGAGATGACAGCGAGGATGAGCAACACAGTCAACACAGCGGCAGCGACAACCAGTCTGAACGGTCAGGGAATCAGTCAGATGCCAGCATATGTTCGGACCAGGGTGACGTTGATCAGTCTGATGCAGAGCAGCACAGTGGCTCAGAGCCTGGCCACCTGGATGAGGATGAAGACGAGGAAGATAGGGGTCACCGGTCAGATGCAGGGAGCCTGGCTGGCAGTGGGATGTCTGGAGCAGAAAGCCCTCGCTCTGAGAGGGGCAGCATCCGCTCAGACAGAAGGTATAACAACACACCCTGGATGCGCCTCATTATTTAACTAGATGAATGTGAGAAGACGTCAGAGGGGACACAGTATTGAAGATGCAAATATTTTACAGTACATGCTATCTACAGAGGATATTTGTATACATCTGTTGGGATAGTCTATATTTTTAATATTGTAAACAAATCCCTTGAAAAAAAAAACAATCCCAAGAGTGAGTTGGTCCTACTAAGTATTTCTTCCTGACCCAACCTTCCCCATTTTATGTGGGCTTGGGACCAGCACTAGGAGTGCTACCGTAAACTCAGCTGCAATAAAACAAAGTACATGTGATCCTGGTGGTGTAGCACATGGACAGATAGAAAAGGGGTTGTAAAGAGGTTGCTTTAAATTTAATTACTGATTGATTAACAGTGATCATCCTTGTTGTGCACTGATTTTAGATTTTATTTTCTAGAATAATAAAGTTCCTCAATATCAGAAGGGAAGAAAGAACTAAGGATTGCTTCTTCAGCTGTCAGTAGTCGATCTTATTGCCAGTAGCTACAAACTCACTAGTTTTTTTTATTTTTTTTTTATTCATCTTGGCAGACAGAAAACAAAGTGACAATCTAAACTGTAATGTCATTATGAGACTTTATTATTATGAGATTTTAATTTCTTTATATATTTTTCAAATCAATTTGTTTTATATCAGCGTGCACAGTGATCCTGGGACTCCACAATCGGTGCCAGGCACCCCTCACTCTGACGGAGAAGCTTCTGGCAGGGACAACCAGTCCGATGATGAGAAGTGGGACAGAGGGGCTAAGAGTGACCAGTCAGAGGATGAGGAGGAGAAATGTCATTATTCTGACGAAGAAAGAGAGAACTCTGACGACGAAGGGCAGAGAAACAGGAAGTCAGGTACTCCAGGGGTCTTCTGTTAAAGACAGAGGAAATGTTGTGTGCAGTCTGGATCAAGAGCCGGCCTTCCGAGTTAGTCTTGACACATTAGAGTTTGTGGAAGAGGGTTAAGGCTCTACAGTGGGTACGGAAAGTATTCAGACCCCCTTAAATTTTTCCCTCTTTGTTATATTGCAGCCATATGCTAAAATCATTTAAGTTCATTTTTTCC